AAAGGTTTAAAGTTTTTGGTGTTCAACTTACCTCCAGACCCTTAAACAAATACACATGTCTTGAACCGTCTGGGCCCACATGAAGCAGTATGAAACCCAGCAGACAGTATACTCCTGGACGATAAAGCCCTACAGTTTCCCATCACTCCCCACAGCGTCTTCCAGTTCTGACGACGTCGTCTTAGTTCGCGACAGGCTCAACTCCGTAAGACTCCCGACCGAAAGCCGGCGCCCAGGCTCAGATTGCTGCCAAGTCCGTCAGCATCCCCTCGGTGGAGTGCTGACTCGGGAGGCATGCATGTGTAAACATGACAAACAGGCAAGCATATAGATGGAGATAGAGACACAGTTTTAGACATAAATCTAGATATCATGGGTTTATCAATATTAGACACAGATCACGATAAATATTAAGGTAGGGATCTTGATACAGATGTGGATACGACATACATGTAGACGTAGGCAAAGGAGGTAGCGACAGAGATTTGGCTATGCATAGACATAGGTAAAGATATAGGTATCGACATGTCGATGGAGACATAGACAGAGAAGTTGACCTGGACCTTGACTTAGACGTAGACGTAGACATGGACACAGATAGAGATTTACATATAGATACGTGCATGTATCCGTACATACCTATACCAGTAATTGTATGCATCTATATATACATATATATATATACACGTATGTATGTATGTATGCTGATCTGTGTATATGTATATGTTGAATGTGTATATACTTCTGTATCTGCATATGCATATGTGTATGCATAGGTATATTCGTATGTTTGCTTCTGCTTACGCTTAAACGTGCATGTATGCGTGTATGTACATGTATGTGTGGTGCAGGTGCATGTGCACTTGCATGTGCATGAGCATTTGTAGGTGTATCTGTATATGCTGTATAAATAAATAAGTAAATAAATAAATACATAAAAAGTATATATCCTTGTGTGTAGCTGCTGTCCGTCCGTCCGTCCGTCCGTGCGTCCATGCGTCCGCCCGCCCGTCCGTCCGTTTGTCTGTCTGCCTTTCTGTCTTTCTGTCTGTCTGTCGATCGGTCGGTCTGTCGGCCTTCCTGTCTGTCTCTGTCTCTGTTTGTCTTCCTGCCTGCCTGCCTGCCTGCCTGCCTGCCTGCCTGCATGGGTGCCTGGCCGGCTGGCTGGCTGAAGTAAATAAATACATATATACATGTATATATATATATATAGATATGTAAGTAAGTAAGTAAGTAAG